TAAAAATATCACAATCCAAAACAAATAAACTGTTTTTACCCAAGGATAAGTGTCAAATTTGAGAGATTAATGCACTTTGCTAAATCAGAACCTAAGCCTGATGCACCTTTGTCACCAATTTAATTATCACTTTTTAAATATTGAAGAAAAAATATATCATTAAAAAGTTAATTAGAAGGAAAAATTAAAAAATAAATATGAAATAATAAGATTAATTAATTAAAAATAAAAGTAAAATTTGAAAATAAATTGATGAATAAGTTAAATTAACAAAGAAAGAACAAATAAAAGCAAGCACAATAAAAAGAAAAATATTATTGTTTTAAATTAATTTTTATAATTAAAAATATCACAATCCAAAACAAATAAACTGTTTTTACTAAAGTTTAAGTGTCAAATTTGAGAGATTAATGCACTTTGCTAAATCAGAACCTAAGCCTGATGCACCTTTGTCACCAATTTAATTATCACTTTTTAAATATTGAAGAAAAAATATATCATTAAAAAGTTAATTAGAAGGAAAAATTAAAAAATAAATATGAAATAATAAGATTAATTAATTAAAAATAAAAGTAAAATTTGAAAATAAATTGATGAATGAGTTAAATTAACAAAGAAAGAACAAAAAAAAGCAAGCACAATAAAAAGAAAAATAAAAAAGAGCTTTATTGTTTTAAATCAGTTTTTATAATTAAAGATATCACAATCAAAAACAAATAAACTGTTTTTTACTCAAGATAAAGTGTCAAATTTGAGAGATTAATGCACTTTGCTAAACCAGAACATAAGCCTGATGCACCTTTGTCACCAATTTAATTATCACTTTTTAAATATTGAAGAAAAAATATATCATTAAATATAGAGTAAGTTGCCATTCAAATTTACAAAAAGTAATTTTATATTGCTAATCCAGGATAGCATTATATTTTAATACCTGGATTATGATTAATTTATTATTTAAAAAATAAATAAAAGAATTTATGAAAAAGTATGTAAAGGCAAGATTCAATAAAATTCATAAATTGTATTTAATATATAAATATATAGTATAAAAAGCGCTCAAATACAATATTCAATATTTTTTCAAAATTTTGGTGGTTTTCATTAATGTTGATTTTTAAGTTGGTAAAATTTTTCAAAAAAAATGATATGTTTTTATGAGTATACGGTATGTATATTTTATTTCAAATTTTTC